ACAGACGCATCTTCCACGCAGTCTGGACCTCGCTCTTAGTTCGAGTACCACATGTTCCGTCCGCTTTCACGCCGAATTTGCAACATAAATTGACTATGGTGGAATTGTGTGACTTAGATACAGTGAATGGAATTGCCGACTCGATCAACACGGTGCTGTGCTCGTTGAAACATCGTTGGCGATGAATGCTTGAGTGTGTTTAGACAACGCACGCTGGTGTGCTAAGTGGGTTTCAGCTGCAATTAGCCACTTCTACGAGAGAAGTGCTTGGTTTTTCAACGACCTTTTGCTGGCCTAAACCACGGCGGTCTAGAAGTGATGCCGAAATCGTTGCAGTATCTTCAAGTGCTGCTATTCGACTAATGCACCATCATATTCTAATAACCATTCACTTGACGCTTAGTAGCTGCGGTGATTCACAGTCTTTTCCAAAATCGAACTTGTCGAATCGGTGTTAGTTTCCTAACGATTTCGCGTTTCGTAATAGATTTTTATTTAAATATATTGGGATGCAAAAGCACAGGACAACGCAGCTTAGTTGCCATAGCGACGCCAGCAGTTGGGACCCTGTTTGTGCATTTCGGAAATTATTTCCTTGTAAATTAGATTGATTGACTTAATGCGTGTAACTGAATTTACAACAAGTCTTTTAGTGTGGAATAAAAGTCCACACCAAAACACTCAGCCCATTGGGATTTGGTCGTGCAACAAAATTATCTTCCCTGCCTTCATACAAAGCCCTTTTTTTCTGATTATTACTGTCCTACTTTTTTGCACCAATGAATTGTACCCCTATGAAAATTTAGCGAATATTGAAATAAAGTTGTCTTTATTGTGGTTATATTTTTTTCACCCTTAGCTAAATCCCGACTTATTCAACTTTAAATGTTCTTTGGTTTTCAAATTTTTGCATAAATTACATCTTAAGTTTCCAACTGTGGAAAGCCATAGCGAATTGACGCTGAATGTCCATGTCACGTAGGGCTTTCGTAATCTCCAAAGCCACTTCTTGATTCCACGTTAAATTTAATTAATTGACATCCAATCAACAGTAGCATCCTGAATATTGTGGGTTCGCGCCTCCAGTGCGACCACGATTCAGGGGCCGTGTTTTCTTCCCCTCAAAAACCGGAACCCTTGTAAACCTGCATTTCGCAGCAGTGTAGGGACTTGGACGTCACCCTCTTTTGTTGCTACCCTGATTAATTTTTCAAGACGAGTCAACTTGCAGGTACGGGATCAGCCGAAATGTCTGGGAGTGACTGCTTAAACTCAAAATTGAACAAAGTTGCTTGAGTACCAGAAGTTTAAATCGAGAGAACTTAGTTTTTAGTTGCATCCACATAACACCTATCAGTTTTGCTAAATCGATAGCAAACACAAGAGCATACCACCTTAATTACCTCTGAATTAAAGTTTAGCGAAGATTTTAACTTCAAAGCGAGGGAACATACACGGGGACTCGTGTCGCTTTATTAAAATAATGAGATCAATAGGCGAGGTTCCTTTAAATGCTTCTGAAACCATTTCACTGGTTAAGATTTGTCTAGTGTAAGTGCATATTTAGAGTCCAGACTGGTTGGATTTGGTTCACGTGATGCCAACACTTCCACCAACAATTCTGCGATTGTTCTTAAGACTTTTTTTGGGTGAAGTTAAAAAAGAGCCTGAATTTTCACACAGAACCAACTCTCCGCTGAGTCCCACTCCAGCTTTAAAAGTCCAAAGAAATTCACTTCTGCAGTCCCAGACGAGAGTACTCTAAGACAATCGGATTAAGCTATTTCTGAAACACTACCTGATTCTACTCTCCGTCTTCGCGTATCCTTGCAAATTATTTCCTTGTCGTGCACAATTAAAAATACTTTTTTCCCTTACTTGGCACAACACACATCTGCGGCTCGTCACAAGTAGTGAAAATTTAGGAACACTCGAATCGTCTTTCAATAACTTCCTATTTAATCGAATTCAGGCTTCAGAAACTAAAAATTCCTTTTAAAAAAACATGGATACACTGCACGTTTTCGGTTAGTATAAAAAACCGGAATAAAATTGCCTTGTTCATACCTAGAATTCTCTTGGTGTTAAAAACTGCACCACGTGTTTTCGTTAATTTGAGTAAATGCGGTTGAAATCTTGGGCAAAAAGTAGTTTTGAACACGTTCACACTAAACCCCTTTAAGTCGCGAATCGGGCGTTTTGCGATGTGAATGAGTCATGCGCTTAACATACTGATTCTCAGTGTACTTGGTATTCTTCGCATACCACTGGTTAATTAAGGGAACGTCTCCTCCTACAAGTTTCTTAAATCATTTAAAGGGTGAAATACAAGGTACAAGCGAACCAATAAAATACGAAGTGCCATTTACTCCCAGGTAGGACAAAAAGGACCTCTTCGCAGTTTTGTGTTCATTCTGCAAACTTTTAGACGACTCGAATTGACTAAGAAATATGTAGGTTCTTTCTACAGGCTGTACATTTAACGCAGTTTCTTCTATTGATGCTCCGGAGACATTTCGGGTGGCCTTCTGAACGGAATAGTTTTGACTTAGCCTTGGTGGATCAGGATCGGCCCGACCTCCAGAATACCCACAATACTAATAATGATATAGATAAAGCAACACACACAGGAAGGTAATGCGATGGTCAAACCAGATCCCCAAAAATCCCATCCACAATTTATGTGTGCACCTCAGCAAGGTGTGTTTGAGTGTCGGCTGTGAAACGGCTATCGAGTTACATATCTGTCTGTTACTCATGGCCAAATCAAATTACTAGGTTAGAACAAATCTTTGCCCATGGCATTTGGTAGAAGCTAACTGATTCATACAAAACTGCTTTGCGAAACATTCCTTTGTGTGTTCAGCTGCCAAATATTTACCAACCCAATTGAATTTGACGGGGGCTAAACCGTTTTGCAAATAAAAATTGCCAATTTTTAGCGTCTTTTCTAATCGTTTATCAAAAACACTGTGGCTTCACACATCTTCACCCGCTATTTCCTTCGTTACTGAATATCCACTCACGTGAGTGTTTGTTCTGTTGGCAAGTTGGACCCTTTGACCAAAATTCCCTTTTCTAAACATCTGGTTTGTATAATTTATAAAATTTTGGTACTTTTTACATAATTGCAAACGCAACATGTGTGGCAATAGGGCGGCACTTGGTCTTTTTATCTGATTGCCGCATTTAGAATGTCCAACAACTCAGCTGTTTGGAAACTGCCTAACCCCACGTAACCAAGCACAAAGAGATGTCGTCTCTATGACACAAACCTTTTTTTCCGAATCCTCATCAAGTTAACTTTATTGACGTTTCCCACTTGTCTAATTAATAACCGTGGTGTTACTTAGAACCAGATTGAAAAACGCCGCGGCAAAAATGGAGTTTGGTTTTAGCTAAACGGCCGACACGAGCGATTGCGTATCTAAGGTTCCTCTGCCGTAGATGCTATCCACAACTTGCCGTATTTGATGGATGGCTACAAGGCACTCAATTCTACATGAAGGATATCATGGTGAGCGCTTGTGCTTCCCACCTGTCAAATCGGTGCGATTCTTTGTCACCGATTTTTTGAAGCATGTGTCGAGATTTTGTAAGGAATCATGTGTTATTAGTTAACCCCGAGTTAGAGGAAGCAACTTGTTCTAGGAAGAAAGGTGGGACAGCATCGCGTGAATCGAATTTCAACTTACGAGTCAATTTTTCCAGGATCCATCTTACGTCATTTTAAACAAGAATGATTAGATTTTGGCACGTACCTTGAAGAGTGTCCTGTGTCAATTTGGGGAAAATTTATCAAGCACATCTCTGGCAGAAGGCTATGTTTGATCCAAAATATCACATGATCTTGCCAAGCAGGTGTGAGTGTGATGGCCATTATGCAAGCTACCTGGTTAAAGTGGCAATTAGGTGCGGCAAAGCACCAATTTTTAGGCTGTGTAACAGCGAGGGTATGTCAACTTTTTTTTAAAAAAACCGTCAAGCAAAAACTGGGTGATTTGCCACTGCATTCAAACTTACACGGCATTTTGTAAATCAATGTTTGTAGCCTCGCAGCATGTTTAAATGTTAAGGATGTCGTCCAAACATCGTGATTAAAAATGATTTCGAGATTTTAAATCGAGCAGATCACGCCGTGGCCTCCTGAAGTTAGATTTTATCATAATCTTCTGCCATCGGTTCAAGAGAATTGCACCGCATTTCATGCACTCTAGACTTTACCAAGAGGTTAACAGAAAGGTCGATCTGTAGACGGATTGGGCAGCACCCAGCACCTCTACAGCCAATGCTTTCTTCTTCGAAAGTCAGTTTATGAAAAAGCACCTTTTTTTCTTCAACATATTTTTTTAAAAATGACACACACGGATTCAGAACTATGCGAATATTTTTCAACGAAAAACCACGTTAAGTGTTACACGTCGGTGTTCGAGTGTCTAAAAAAGCAGCACCGACGCCGGAAAAAAAAGTTTTTTTTTTAATTTTACAAACACGAATCCTTGAAATTAGCCGGTAAAACCAATAACATGAATAATTAAGCGACTCAAGTTGACTGCTATTAAAAAGGCTGTTGTTTTATTCAGAGGGATACCGTGCATAAATAAATGAAACAAAGACAAGAACGGAGACGCATTAAAACGCCCTCTTGAAATCACAAACAGTAGCTTAGCATTGCGAAAATTGAATTACTGTCCAAATCAACCGGTCCGGCCAGGATTGTAAACGAAATGCATATTCGATAGTACTGTAATCAGGGGTGTTTTTAAATAGAGAGCTCAAGGCTGCATTCCTTTGATTTTAACAAACTACCTGACTTATCTGAATGGTGTTTGGCGGATTTATGGAGGAAATTCATTAGCACCTGTTGCACTCTAACTATTGACACCTCCACAGGAAGTAATTAGATTGAGGTGCAAAGGTGTTGTCGATTTCAGAAACCGGTAAAAAGTGTCAATTAGCAAAGACAGGGCCCTGATGGGGGTTGCAGTGGGCGAATGAAGTTAAGGCGCAAATGTTTGCTTACACAACACACCATCCTCCATGTCTGCTGGCAGTAAACTTCCTAGGCTAAGATTGCTGAGTGCGTCCTCGGATCGGAAGGAAGCGATGCTGCCGCCGCGAGACCGCAGTCTTGGCGACGGGAGAGTCAGCAACTGCATGCTGGGTCGGTCGCCAGGGGATACCGAGGAGCGCGTAGTAATGGCAGGAATGGTTGACATTTTGGCATAAAATTCCTCTCGTTCCATCGTCATGTTGGCAAAAAGTCATCCATAGACTTGATCGTGGCAACTTGTTAAGTTATGTGTGCCTGCGTGCCACTTTAGTTAATGCGATCTGCACTGACACTTGATTGGTTGTTTCTCATTGGCTACCTGCGGATAGCGTGCCTGTCCACGGACACGGGAAGATACGGTTTTGTTGCAATTTTATCGTTTTTACAAAGACAAAATATGGGCCTTATAGCACGTTTGACCTTTACATCGTGTCGTTTCAAAGACAAATTCCGTAGAGGTGAATAATCCTCCTTTTCGCAAGTAAACTCGTTTTTGTGGCGGAACTTGGTCGATTGTTCCCTTCATTCGTTTCACTAGATAACGCAAGCCTCTTTTATCATAATGCCTGGCCGAGGTCGGTTGAGTGGTGGCGAATACAATTTTGATGAATCCATGAAAGTTTACATGGGCATTACAACTAGAAGTAAATAAAACTCGGTATACTCAACAATTAGACATGTAACAATGACTTTAGCAAAGTGGCCAGATCGGGTGAGAATGCCATTTCTTTTTACTTGGCTAAAGTGTCGATGATAGTCACTTGTGTTGGACTTTGTCAGATGCCTAGGTCACTAAAGAACAGGCATATTGTGCTTGTGAAAGCTTGGCAGTAAAAGGCGTTCTACAAAAGGCGGGTCACAACATCTGACTCGCTTTTAAATTGTGTAGTTGACAATTTTAAACAAGTACAGAATTTGTAGCATTTTGTGTGACCTTCACGTTAAACGAAAGTTCTGGAGTTGCCTCCTACATTCATTTTTGCATCTGAATAGAGTATGAAGTGGTTGCAAAAGTACGTGTGCATTTTGATTGGCCTCTTCATAGAAACTGCGTGGCTTTGTTTGAGGAAAGTCTAAGGAGTGTATTGACTTCTTCCGTAGGATCAATTTTTTTGTCATTTAAACAAAAAAATTCAAAAATGCAAGGAGGCAAGGGCAGAGGAATTCTCTGGTTGCAGAAGGAGTCTATTCTCCTTAACTTTCCAGGTTTTTCAAGGCCTATTGAGAGACATGGCGTCTGGTAGTGTCAGAGCAAATGATGACGACTATTCGACAGAACCCACTTGGAGGTTATACTCGGATTTCAACATCGAGGTAGCCGAGTTGTGCACAATTTAACTTTGATAAGCAATTTTCTTTTGAATCACGCCATCTTTGAATAATGAGCGGTCATTAGCATTTTAAAAAAAACAGTCAGACGCGCATGCTTCTGCCATGTGTGGAAATCGGGCAAGTAGTTTTGCAATTATCAAATTTCTCCCTGTCACTACAATCACCATCAGGTGCTTTCAGGATTGAAATTTGGCGTCTTTTAAATCGTGTATTAACCCACCGGTGTGGCAATTTAAGCCGCAGTAGGGTGGACGTTTTTTCCTTTAGAAATGATACCCCTTCCGTAATAAACTAATGCCTAAGGAGGGGAAGGTATCTACGCGTGTACCATTTTAGGGAGTTGTGTTGATACATGTGGGTTGGCCCAGATTTGTAACCAGAAAGAATTATTTGTTCTGTGTGCTTTCTCCACAGAACGTGACCATTGGAAGATTTGACCTCATTTTAGGGGATGACCCCTTCCGAATTCAGCAGCCTCGAAACGCCCAATCCAAACCGACCGCCAAAATTAAAAGCCAAAGCCGATTGTTTAAACAAATATGTAAGACGTGACTATTAAAAGCCACGGTTCTTTCATGAAACCACACTTGTTCGAAGAAACATGCTAGTGAAACATCTTAATTTTTGAGATGCGTAAAACGCTAGAAATTTTGTGTCTGGGATTAATGTAACCGTCAACTTCTAGAATAATTTTAAACTGCAAATTTGCCCCAAAACGATTCCCAGAAAATTTTTTAAGGTGCTACATGAACTTTCTAAATCAATCTTCTGTCACGTTTCAAGTTTTGGACAATTATAAAATTCAAACACTAAGACAATAGGCATAAAGTTTAAGATATAATAAATGTAAGTAAAATGTCCATCCAAAGTTGCATTGTGGGGAGTAAATTTACGACTTGGCGGAGTTTCCAAAGGATTTCAAATCAATTTACAATGAAACGAGCGCGTCCTTAAGTTGCTTCATGTATTCTAGTATTTGCTGTGAACCGTGCTTATTCACACCCCTCAATCCGGTCGCTCCACCTCCGTCACAGGGTTCCCTTTTTCGCTGCATGGCGCCAGCAGCTCGATTCCTCAACTCCCCCCTCATTCACAGGGATATTTATCCTGGATTTTCTCACACCTAGGTCTCGATGTTAGCGCATGTATGACTCACACATCCGAGGTATAAATACACACGCGCAAACCCCACACACGACACAACGACATCAGTTTTGGTTGAACTCTGAAGTAAACAGTTGTGTCCACGTTCTCTCCGGTCTTTTTCTTCATCGCGGACACCGGGGAAGGGTAATAGGGCCAGGGTTAATTCCGTGGCCCCGGCGAGGTTCAAGACCACATGCTGGGGCCCACAACATATCCAATTAATAAAATTCGAGTGTGCAATTTCAACAAAGATTCGTCGTGTTTGCAACACTCCAAAAGTGTGTTTTTTTGTGCAAAAGTCGAGCTTGGAGATTCAATGAGCCCTATATTCAACTTTAAAGTTTTGACACCTCAATTTCCAACTGTGTCCACTTACAATCTGGCCTTGTTATAACACAGAGGTCAACATTTTGGTATCAAACCAAGTTGCCTTGTAAAATTATCCCTTTTTTAATGACATTTCAAATTTGATAGCGAGGTTTAACGTTTCGGGGGCAAGCTATTTACTAATGCGTGGTTGATAAGCCATTGTAGCTGTATCCATGGTGACTTCGAAGCGAATTCATTGCCTCCTCTAACCAGTCGAGTCGTGGGTTATCCAAAAGACACTACTTAAAGGCCCTGTAATTAAAATGATTTGATCAAACATCAATCTTTAATGCTATTTGGGGTCGAAGCATACAATAAAAGGCACAAGAACTCATTTTAAATTCGCTTCTTTCTATTCATAATGCAAATACATATCAGTATTGCACAAACCTAGCAAAGAAAAAAGCCACTTACCACTATTTATTAGACTGGGACGTGTCGCAAATGATGTTTCACAACAAATAGGTGAATTCTTGAGTTGAGTGTTCGCGATTTGCTTGTTTGCGTAACATGTAAGTGCGTAATTAGTGTAGGTATTAGCGAAAGGGCCAAAGCACATCAATAGCGTGTATAGGCTAGCTTGGCGTTTCTGGATACCTGTGAATTTTTCCTTGACCCTTTCTAATCAACGTTTCCCAAGATGTTGGACATGTAAGTGTTTAGATCCAGAAGTGGCTGGGAATGACACATGTCTTTCTACTTACTTATGTGCGAGGAATTTACTTAAAATGTAAACTAATTGAAATAAAAAAAACTTTTTTCTTTAAATATAATCGTGGTAACAAAATTGATAGCCAATATTTAAACAAATCTAATTCCACGCACACAAGCAAGTCGGTGCAAAAAATTGATGCATTCCCATTTGAATTGAACCAAAACTTAATTTCCTCATCAATACACAACTTCCCTTGTGCAGCCAATTAAAATGTGCTCCTCGAGTTAAGATGGCCAAATTAAAATGTATTACTTAATACTTTTTGAATTTAAACTGTAGAGGCTAGTTAGGTTATTAGTGTGTACTGGCCCTGACGTAGGACTCGAACCACATCGGGAATGGAGACAACGCTTAGTGTCTTCGTCTTACAATTCGTCAGAATACATTGGAACGCCTGTCATTCAAACGAGGCAACAGAACTACAAAACAAATCGATTAATCGAATTCAATAATCAATTGAATTTGCGTTCGCTCAAGTCAGGTAAGGACACCTGTTAAATATCTTCAATGCGTCTCGCGTAGACATGCATATCACCAAAAAGACCGTGTCTTATTCACAATTACCACCACAGATAATAGCAGCAGTCAAAATTACTAGCAAGTCGCCAGACTTTGACCAATTTAAAATTCTTTTGCACCTTGTGGACGTGTCTTAAGTGGAAAAATAGTAGTTTGGACACGATTTATGCGATCTGGTCTGGTAGTTCTCAGTAAGGGTTGGTTTTTCAACTTCAAGGAAATGGCAGCAGTGAAATTGCGCCCGCCTGGGTCTACGCATTGCGTCACTCCAGCCACAATTCCACGGAGTCTGTTTTGCATAAAAAAAATTTCCAAGCGCCAAAACCACCCAAGGGATAGTGTTCAGGATTTCACAACCATTCAACAACAAGTAAGAATCGTTTGAATCCAATTAACTGCAGAGGCGAGGTCTCAAGTTTTCCGCCTTAAGAAAACTGTTCGTTTGGTTTTGCTAATTCTGGCCGCAGACACCCTTTGATGTCTTCAGAGCGCCGTTTGTAAACACAACCAACTCCGCAACCTCGCCTGCTGACAAAACCACTTTGTCTGTTTCCTTTTTTTCAAAAAAGGCAATGGATTGCTATTTTTGGACGATTCACACAACGCCTGCCCTGGAAGGTGCCTTTTGTGTGTTTTGAACATTGCACCTTGGGCTTGTGCATCACATAACGCAATAATTGTTAGTGATTTGATAATGAACACTCAAATGGCTCACTTAGTAGTCCTAAAAATTGCTAACTGTCACTTTTATGTCTTTCTGGGCATAAACAACTTTCAGCCGCGTTAGAAAGTGGTCGATAACTACTAATTAAAAAACGTGTTCTCTCATAATGCTGAATCCAACTTATTAATCTACTCTCCCCGTTATAGGCCAAGTGTTCAGTCTTGAAGCCATAAAAATCAAAGTAACTTACAAGTAATTTATTGGACATTTGTGTGCGTGAGTGCGTGTATTTGAGGCAAGCAACCGGGGTACCATGCCATAAAGCCAATTAACGCTACTCTCGCTTGGATACTTCTTAGTCATTGGAGGTGACGGAGTCGCCTTCCCATTGGTTATCACGCAGAGCCCGCACAGAGACTAATTGGTCTTAAGTTGCAGAAAAAAACAG